GGGGGCGCCCCCGCCCCGCCCCCGCCCCGGGGCGGCCCCGGCGCGGCGGGAACGGGAGCGGGAACGGGAGCGGGAACGGGGGCGGGAACGGGGGCGGGAGCGGTGCCGGGGCCGCGCTGGCTCCGGCATCCCCCGCACCGGGGCCACCCCAGCGCCTTCCCCAGTCCGGCACCGGTATCCTCGGGCGTGTTTAATTTTCGTTCGGCGAGGACATCGCCCCGCGGCGCCGAGACCGGAGGTTGAGCACCCCCCCGCTGCCCTCCCGGGGCCATCCCGGCGCCCGGGAAGCGCCGTCCCGGAGGGAAGCGGCGGGTCCGGCCCCGGTGTGCGGGGTCAGCCCTCCACCCGGGGCGCACACGGGCAGATCCCGGCTGGGGATGCCTGGGCTCGGAGCAAAGGAGATGGGTACGGTACCGGTACCGTGGCGGGTCCCCCGGGACCGGCCCGAGGGGGCTGAGCCCGTACAAACTGCTGGCAGCCGCACACCGGTTTGTAAGTCTTTTTTTTTTTAATAAAACAATCGGAGTCTGTATCAAAAATTTAGTAAAAAATTAGATTTGAGAGTTCACCGATTTTTTTTTTTTTAACTATTAACTATTCCTGGCGCTCTTTTTTCTTTTCCTTTTTATTTTTATTTTTTTAAACTTTTTTTTATCTTTTCCAACAGTGTCCAGGCTGGAGTGCCGGCGTGAGGCCAGCGAAGTCATTCCTGCACAGTGCCAAGGAGCAGCCGGGACAGAGAACACACCCTACTCTCGTCAAAACACCCCACAGGGAGGGGGTTTTGCTTAAAATCGATCCCCCCACCCTGGTGCTCGCTGGGAAGCAGAGAAGTCGTCGTGGCACAGGGCTCAGCTCATCCTTCTGCGAGCATTCGCCGACACAGCAATGCACCCCCTTGCTCAGCCACGGGCACCCCAGGCCAGGCTGACCCAACTCATCACTATTTTATGATGCGTGAGAAAGATAGGATTTCTTTGATTAAAAATAAAATAAAAATGATAAAATAATCAAACCCCGAACCAAGAAGCTGATCCATCCCGAGAGGAGGAGGAGGAGGATGCTGGCTGGCTCCGCTGACCAGCCTGTGGAGCTCGCCTGCAGCACAGCACTGCCCTCCCCCTCCCCAAAAACTACACATCCCAGTTTAGGTAAACAGCAGATTAAATGTAAAAACTTAAACCATCGACTTCAGAAAGTCCCTTGAATTTAATTATTTTTAGGCTACCTTTCATGTTACGTCCTGTAGCTAGACACACGTGAATAGAAAAAACAGTACAGTTAGTGTTAAAGGCAAACAGCGGAGACCCAGAGTGCTACCCCAGTGCTGCCTGCTCCTCCCGACCCGGCCCGACCCGTCCCGACCCCCCTCCCTGCCCACCGCCCCGGCCCCGGCCGAAGCCCAGCCGCCGGGAAGGCGTCTTTGAGCCGAGAATTTTTTTCTATGAATAAAATAAAACCAAAGCTTGTTAGGCAAAAATAAAACAAGTGTCCCCCCGAGTCCCGCGAGCGCTCCGGTGCAGCGGGAGCAGCCGGGGAGAGCCTGCTGGGGAGCGGGCTGGGGTTTTGTGTTCCCGGCTGGCGAGGGGGCTGCCGGCCCACAGACAGCACCGGTGTGGAGCTGGAGGCCCCTTCTCCCCCGAGAGCCTCCCATTTGTTAAGGGGGGACGTAGGGCGGTGGGGACCTGTACGGGGTCATGTTCTTCGGGCGGGAGCCTTTCCCCTCCATGGGTGCAGTGAAGGGGGGGGGAGGCTGGTAGGGTGGCGCGTTGGGGTCCTCGTCCCGCAGCGGAGTGTACTCCCCGATGGTGTCCTGGTTGAGCGGCGTGGTCTCCGGCATGCTCTGGTTGGGGTACTCTGGAGGGGGCAGTGGGGCTTTCTCCTCCTGGAGGATGAGGGGCATGCTGGAGGACGGTGGGGGCTTGGAGTCGTCCAGCTCGTCGGCGAAAATGATGGGCACGCCTTTCTTTATGAAGGTGGCCTGGTCTTCGATGGTCAGCTTGCCTTTCCTCTTCTTGCGGTAGCAGATCATGGCAATGATGCCAGCCACGAGGAGGATGGCGGCCACCACCACGGCAGGGATGACAGTGTGCAGGTACACATCATCCTCGCTGCTCTTCTCAGGGTCTTTGCCTGCTGCCACCGTTGGCGTCGCCTCTGAGATCACCCTGCCATCCTTGGTCACAGGGACAAACTGGATGTGCCTGCAGCTGCCGGAACCAACCACAGACACATTTAGAGGCTTGAACTCAGGCTGCAGGACATTAGAGAAAGCTGGGCTCGGCCTGCCAGAGTCATCTGCAATTTTTTTGCTCAAAGTCCGGATCTGCTCCCGAGGGCAAGGCTCCAGGGGCAGTGTGTTGTTGGTCCACTCCACTACGATGGAGCCTTTGCTGATGTCCTGCACTGTGATTGTGCTGCTGTTCCTATCGCCGAATGCCAGGGCCAGCTTCTTCACCAGCATGATCTTCTTATGGATGTCATTCGCCACTGCATTATGGTCTCCTTCCAGCCTGGCCTTGAACTTCACCGGAGACTTGTCCCCATGTGGATGTTTGTGGACATGGATTTCAAAAGCATCCACGGCAAAAAGCCCACCCTTGTCGGTGGCATACATGAAGTATTCGTGCTTCCCAATGTGGTTGTGGTCTGGCATGCCATACATGAGCTGGCTGGTGCTGTTGAACTGCACCCATGAATTCTCCTCAATCATCTGCTGCTCCTTCAGCTTCAAGGTCAGCTGCAGCTTGTCGGTGGTGGTGTCTTCCTTGTCGTAGAAGGTATCCGAGGGTATCTTAACCTCGAAGTAGGTGCCCTCCCACGCGTCGACCCTGTCGATGTGGTTGGTCAGCTTGGGTGGCTCGTTGGGCTCCCAGGGCCGGGGCAGCCCGCTGGCCGTGGTGCGCACACGGGACGGCGGAGAGGCTGTTGTCAGCTTGGAGATGGGAGATCTGGTTGTGCTGGGAGGCTTTGTTGGACGGGGTGTTTTGGGCCTTCGGGTAGGCCTTCGTGTTATTGCCGTGGAGGAATCTGTGGTGGACGGTGTGGCTGGCTTCAGGGTGGAGACTCTCGGTTTCTTGGTGGTAGTCGAGGGTGGTGTGATCACTGCTGTGGGCTCTACATACCCAGGCATCGTGGGGCGAATCGGCACGGAGGCCGTGCCCGTGCCTTCTGCTACCCGGGTTGGCTGGATCGGCCCCAGCGTGGGCGTCTGGACAATGGGGCCTCTGGTTCTGATGGTGACTGTTGGCTTCCTCGGCAGCGGAATGGGCTCCCGGACGGGGGGTGCCATTGTCTCTGTGGGAGGTGCGATGGCAGGTGACGTTGGGGTGGGGACAATCCTGGTGGGTGGCTCTTGTGCAGCAGTGGTGGGTGGCCCGATGGCAGTCAAAGGCGTAGGGGTGGCGTTGATCTGACGCCGCATCCTCTTTGGGAGGTGAGGTTTCTTGTTAGCAATGTGCCAGCCAACAACGGGGTAGCCAAGGCGGGCAGACATGGTTCCTTCCTTAGCTGGAGCCTCCACCTTGCTGATGTTGGGGACACTGTTTTGGCTCAGGGAACATCCCAGTTTCCATGAGAGTAAGGCCCCGTTTTCCACCACCTTCTTTGCATTTCCTGGTCCAGCCATGAAGGCAGACATGTCAAAGAGTCTGTTATTTACAACAGGAACCAACTTCATGTTGTGAAGTTCCACCTCTGAAAAGCTTCTCATTCTGTTTAAGAGTTCAATCCTCTGCTTTGGTGTCATTTTTGTTAAGTCGGCATCCAGAATGACAGTCAGGATAGTGACTGGCTCTTCCGAGCCGCACACGAAGGGCGCTGTGTCACTCGTGTCTTGGACGGCCACTCGCAGCGACTGAGGCTCGTTGTGGTCTTCTTGATGGACCTCAACAGAGAAGACGTTTGTGGTCTGTGGGACGTAGCTCCCATTCGGGAAGGGCTGCAGAGTAGTCACCGAGATGTAGTGGACACCCTTGTCCGTGTCAAGGGGCAGCCCTTCCAGGGAGCTGCTCTCTGCATTCCAGTGCAACCAAGAAGGCAAGGAGTCCTTCCCAGCTTCCGAGATCTACCAAACAACAACAACAACAACAAAAAGCTTTTAGAAGTACAGCATTAGGACAGGTTCTATCAGTAGTTATGCTTAATTTCATGGATTAAAGAAAATAATCTGAAGTGTAACAACTGGAGAAGGAACATCCTGGCCAGAGCACAGCAGCCTTTGCCTCCTCCTCCACATGCTGGCAAGGACGAGCTCTGCAGGGTGCGCTGGACCCAAAGAGCTTAAGGAGCCATGAGAGGTCATAAAGACCCACAAGGCCCCCTCGCCTGCAAGTGCTCCAACACTTGCTGTGCAACTGCCAAGCACAAGTGGTTCATTTTCTCTGAGGGCAGACGGGGAGTTTACGTCATGGGGACAGTGACAAAGCTGAGATGAAGTTATGCTGTACAGCAGACCTGATCCAACAACTGCCCTCTTCCCACTCCTTCCTCTCCCAGCTTGGCCATATTGCTCCTTTCCTCACCCCATCACACCCTGCCCACCCTACACACTGCTCCAGCAGCTCAGCAGATCATGTATTTTTTCCAATTACTTTCAGCTTGTCCCACTGTCCCCAGAGCCAGGATGACCCAGAGGGGCCAGAAGCTGGCCAATTATGGTTCTGAGTCCCTGGCCTGGCTGGAGCACACCAGCTCTCAACAAGCAGTAGGAAATCCTGAGAGCTACATGGTGCTGTCCTGCTCTGCCAGAGGAACAGCAGCCAAGAATAAAGGAAGGGAGCAGACCCAATATAATAGCCAGGGTGGGCAGGCAGAGATGGTGGCACAAGGGCTGGGGAATTACTGGCCATGACACAGGACAGCATATCAGCCTGGCTTCACCCCCAGGCTAGACAAAAATGAAGTATTTCACTTTCAAATAATAACTTGCTGCTGCAAGGGAAGGCTTTGTCTCAGAGCACAGGCACCTCAGGACTCCCAACACACTCTTTACTACTTCTTTCAGCCCATGGGACTCTGTTTCCTGCCCTGGGTTGTAGCTGAAGGTGGGTGCAAACCCCCAACCCCCCCAGTTCCCAGCTGACATCTGTCTGCTCTACAGCGGCACAGCGGAGCCGCTCGGGCTGCGCGGTGGAAGGAGTGATGTTGCAGCACACCTCTTGTTAGGGGTAGAAATGAGCCAAGACACAGACTTTCATCTAACAACGTGAAAAGGGTCCCAGTTTATTCTTCTTTACAGCTTAGCCATCCTGACTCTGACTACAGCAAGCTCCTACTGTAGGGTCCAACTGCAGACTCTGACTGCTGGCAATTTCCTGCTGGACTCTGACTGCAAGTTTTGGTTTGCACACTCTGACCCGGGCTTTCACCCAGCTCAACTATGACTGCAAACTCCAACAGCAGGCTCTGACTCCATCATACCCAGACCGACCTCACAGCAGATCTTTTACAGCAGTAACTCCCTTTCTTTTTTTGTTCTTCTTTGTGTCTCTCTGGATCGTTCCTTCTTCTTCAGGGTTCCTCTACCTCCTCAGGGTCCTATTCCTCCAGGATCCCCCTGACCAGCCCTTTTATCACACTTCTCTTTATTAGTCAGCTGTGACCCATTAAGGGCAAGGCTATTCATCTTCTTTGGTAGTCAGTACAACTCTGACTTATCAGTGGCAAGTTTGGCTGTAGTCCCTTCTACACCTACAGGGTGAGGCTGCCAGCTCGGTGGGTTGTGACATTTCCTAGGCTGCAGGTACTCCAGAGTGAGTAACCTGAGCTTCATCACTTCCCAGGCCCGGAGGCGTTTGGCAAATGCCCTGGCTGGGCTTTCCAGAACTCTACAGGCATTTCCCCTTGACACTCAGAGCAAACAGGATGCTTTGGGGCTCATGGAGACACATTTAGCAGCCTGGTCCAGGGTCTGGCTCACTGCAGTCCAACACAGAGCCAGTCTCTAGCTCTCCTCCTGAAAGGGCGCTTTGGTTCTCTGCAGTTCTGTAAAGCTTATACGTATTTCATAATTTACCCAAATGCAAAGCTGAGAGAGGAGCTTTGCAAGGAAACCTTCCCGGCAGAAGCATTCCTGCATCCAGCAGAAGGTGCAGAGCTGGGGCTGGACTAGCCAGACTGCAGGTCCTGCTGGGCAAAGCCCCTGGATGGACAAGGAAGGATGCCTGGTTCTGCAGGGCTGGGCACACTGTGAGTCCTGGGTGCCACTCCCTGGCTGCAGGCAGGATTTAGGCAGCACCCTGCGGCTCACCCCCACACTGGGGGTTTCAGCACACTGAAGGGTCTGGATGCACAGCTCTGCCAGAATAACACAGGACCCAAAAGTTTTTTGGCAAGAGCAGCACCAAATAGCTTTTGTGCAAGAGCTGCAGAGGGTTTCAGCCACGATCACGCAGGCAACACCCTCGTTGTTCTCCTCTGTGAAGGACAAGCCCCACTTTCAGCCAGCCTGGACAAGCTGGAGAACACATCATGAGCCACGTGCTGGGTACAGCTTATGGAGCAGAGTTTAAAGCTCTCAGCATAGCTTTAGTTAACTCCTCACCAGCAATATCCCAGAGCAGAGAATTCAAATTCCTGCTTACAACAGCTGGAGGAAGCTGTCCCAAGGGCCCTACACCCCAACATATGCCACCATGCACCAACATGTGAGCATCCTTCCCCTGGGCCTTGCTGCGTACCCACGTGTCTAGCAGAGGACAGAGGGTCTTGCCAGGGCTGGGGCTGCATTCACTCGTCCTCCACTGCAAGAACAGGAGCTGCTTTTAGCCCAGACATCCCAAAGGAAAGGCAGCCCTTCACCTGAGCTGGGCACAGAGACCCAAGCCTCATTCTTGCAGGAACAAAGGAACGAATTGTCCTTCCTTGGCATTTCTTCTGCCAAGAGAGAACAAAGGCAGTGTCTGCTCCTGCCCTACCCCTATCTTCCTTTAAAAAAGTGCCATTTCCTCACACCCTCTAAAAACTGAGATGCCAGGATACTGCCCAGTGCAATAAAGCATTTAGAGTAGCATTTACAGGAGCTGGATGGTTCCACTCTTTATCCTCTTGTGCCAAAATTAGCCACTAACCTGCCCACTGTGTGGAGGATAGAGGGCTGGGCTGGGCACACGTAAGGAACAGAAACAGAGGGAGCCAGGACAAAGCCACAGCGTTACTGAGGCTCACACAATCAGGGAGAACAAAAACTTTATTAGTGAGTGGTTAAATTGACCCTGAATGTGTAATTTTAGGCTACATTTGGAACAAGTCTTCCTTTTCTGTGCACCCTGCAAAAGCCCTTAATTACAGTATCACACACTCCACACAGCTTTCCTGAGAGTCGGGAGTTTCTGCTGCTGCCTCCTCCCTGGGCACTGGCATGACTTGAGGAGACCTACAAGCAGCAGAACTTCACCCCGTCTCATGTCACAAGGTGATTCTTCCTTCAGTCATGTCTGGTCCTACTTTTGACAGCCAAAGTCACTTCAGAAAGGTGGCTGACGCCATAGGCAGAAGTGATGGCAAGGGAGGCACAGGCCAGTCTGAATATTCCTCCTTGAAAAACCATTTTTAACCTACAGTTTACAGGTAAGGCCCATGCTAGAAAATGAAACTGTAGCCAGACAGATTCACACCAAAACCTAGGCTCTCCTGAAAAACAAAAACAGGCCAAGCAATCACTGACTGGGATGACTTGTTCTAGCAGGGATGAGACAGTTGCAAAACATTTATAAACCCACTTCAACTTGATTTAAAAAGAGCTGAGCTAGTTCAGCTGTATTCAGTCTGTGAGGAGATGTGGACTGTTTCTAAAGGCTCTGCAAGAGATGATTAAGAAAATCGAATTATGTGGATTACTCCTATGAAACCTGTGTCTCCTCTGGGAAATCTTTGAGAAGGCAACAAGTCACAGGCATTCGATGTCTCTGCACTGCTTTAAACACAACAACTGGCCTGATAGCAGGAATCATCCACGTTTCATGTGATAAAGGAAGAGCCCAGAAATATTAGAGTAGATAAATGAAGCTGTTATTATGATGGATAAAAATACTTGCTCTTAAACAAACTGACCAGCAGAGCCCTTGGCATGGATCTGTCCTGTCCACCATCACTGCTGTGTTTGCAGTGGTGCAAAACTGGGAGGAGGGAGACCTGGACTCTGTTCTAGCAATGTTTCCTTCAAACATTGCTTCAAAGGGTATTTGTTAAGGCTGCACATAGTTAATGATTTGGGATATCTTGTTTTCATGCTAAAAGTTTCCCTGTTTTCTATGTATGCAGTAAATATCAGTCTTAAGCCCTGTCATTTCTCTCAAGGGGTCTGGTTTCAAAATAACTCTTCTGTTGCCCAAGTTTAAAAAAAAAAAAGCAGTCTTTGTTTTGCCATTATTTGAGATAATTGTAAATGAATGCTTATCAGCTAAAGATTACACAAGCCTGGCAGTATATCGAAGACCATTAAAAATGATTGTGATTTTAAATACATACACTGAGTGGTCTGGCTGGTTTTGAAGACCTTGTTCACAAAATCCTTTCAAATAGACATGGCCTGTTATTTTTAGGCCAGCCAAGAGCAGTCAGCTCATGAAAGAAGATAGCTCAGTTTGACTTGTTTTTTCAAACTTGGATCTTAAAGCCCTGTAGCCAACAAGACAAAGATAAGCAAAGGAGCAGTGAGCAAAACTGCTGCCTCGAGGGAATTCAGGCAAAAACTGCATTCTTGCCTTCAAGAGTGCCCTTTAATCCTCCAGGTATTTAGTCCTCCTCCTCCTCCTGATGAATCTCCCAAAAAGGAGGCAGTGAGCCGTTTGCCAGGAGACAGGTATGGTAGGATCCTGCCACAGATCTCCACTATAGCACACCACTATGAAATCTTCCCAGTCCTGGACGTATCCCATAGGATCTGCCCTGTCTGTGCTGACAGATCTTCGCATGGGCAGCAGCAGCTGGGAGTCGGTTCCTTCCAAACCAGTCCTAAAACCCCCTTGGTCTGCTTTTGGGCAGAGTCAGCATGGACAGTCCTGCAGCTCTGTCAGATCTCCCATGCCCCATTCCCCTCCCTGTGTCCAGCAGCTGCTGAGAGAC